TTATCGGGGACGGGACTTAACGGTAGCATCCTAAAGTTCCCGCCTTCATCCTCTTCGGTCTCAACTGAGAATCTCAACACCACAACTGCCTCCGCTACCACACGAGCCGCTTGCTGGTAAGTGTTGAGGCGCTTCATGGTTGACCTTCTCGACCAAGCTCTGCGCATGGCTCACCAAGCTCTGTCGGATTTTGAGCCTTCTCCTCGACCGGAAAGTATTCGTCATTCATCATATCTTGCCGTTGAACCACTGAGTCACCATTCGTTTTGCTCTGTTGTAGCCATTGAACTCACCGATCGCTGTCCGAGCGGCGCATACTGCTCCAGCTACTGCGACCACTTCTCCAACTTCTCCAACTTCTCCGGTAGTAGAACCGAAGGTCATCAATTTGGTTTCACCTGACCGTCAGGTGAGTTTCGTTCATGTATTCACCTCTCGTTATCGTGCACTGACGCGCGACACTTCTCTGTTCCCACAGGATGCTCCGCCAGCAAGCTCATCTGCTTCTGGTGTTGTTTTATCAGCTCCTCGAGGGCAATCCCCGGCGTCTACAGCTCACGTCGTCCCTGCACTGTCGGTCACGGAAACTCGGTTGGCTGAGATGTTGGACCCGCAGCGTCAGCAGACATTGAGCCAGGTGTCGGCCCACATTGAGAATTGCTTTGCTGGAGTTTGCCGTTTTGCTGGTGAGCTGTCGTGGGGTCCTGAAGTTCGCGGTCAACGTCCATTCATCCAACGACTTCGAGGTGCAGCTACTCTCGAGGATCTCGTTGCTGTGCCTCAATACTCGGGTGTGCCGTTACCTGGGTCCTCGGTTCACGAGGTCGGTGATCTTGCGCACCCAGTTGCTGTCTTGTGATGCTGAAATGCTATCACTCGCCAAGAAGCTCTTCCGTGAGCAATAGCTGCGGGAGAATGCTGAGATGTTTGCCAAAGAGGCGTCGGCTGAACAGGAAGCACCACTCACGGAGACCAAGCGCGCGACATGCAGGTGACGATTGAAGGCCATAAAGAAATGTATTCCAAGTTGGAGAACCCGACTCAAGCTCGCGCACGCCAACTCGGACTCTCTCTCCAGGGACCTCAAGACTACTCGCGAAGTTTTCAAGCGCAAGTTTGTCGAGTACAAGTCTTCCTTCGACCGCCTTAACGCGTTGCTACCGCTCGCTGATCCGGAGGAGACACCTCTCACCCAGAAAATCCGAGCTCGCGTTCGCGAGTTGGTCGCTGAGAACAAGCGTCTCCAAAAGACTGCCTCGTCTTTACGTTCTCTCATTCGGCTCGACGAAATCGATTCTGAGACTTTAATCTGGATGCTTGAAGGTACGCTCCCATCCAGCTTCACGAATCTTCATCCATGTGCTAACTTATCGTTGCATTTCAGGTCTCGAAGCAGAAGAATTAGACTGGGAGATCATCGAACCCAATCCACTCACACGTAAAGCTTCGCGTCAAGAGTACAAGCTCTGTCGCGATGACCACGATGACTTCTCGTTAGCTAACGAGATCGCCCGATCCAAGTTCAAGTTTGATGAGATACAAGTGCAAACTCATCGCATGGCTGTTGCTCAAGCAGCCGCTGAAGGCAAGCCCGAGCCACCTCCACCTCGTACGTTCGTGCGTAAGTCGTCGGCTCCATCCGGTGACTGCTCACGCTTCACTTGGACCGACTGTGATAACGTTGCTCAGCCCACGTCGTCTGCGAGCACTCCTTCGCCGAACTCACGAGCGGCATCCAAGTCTCGATCGCCACCAACATCCAGCGACAAGTCGAGCCCTGCGTCTCGCTCGCCGCCCATTACCCGTACTGGTCCTCTGGTCATTTTCGAGTCTGGCGATGACTGTTCTGCTGGTGAGGAGTCCAAGATCTCGTCTCCTCCTGCAGCTATCTCTTCGTCCAGTCGCGCTGCGTCGACCTCGTCTTCGTCCGCGGCTACATCTCAGCGACGGTCCAGCGGGACCGTCGCGGAAGCGCAAAGCCACGCGTTCCCAGCACGGTGACGACGACCGAGATGTCAATTTGGGCGGCGGATCTGAGGACGTGGACATGGAGGGAGGCCGTGAGTGTTCGGCAACTCCTTCCTCTGTGTCTGCTGGCTCCTCTCCACCCAAGAAGCAGCACGCTCTGCACTTGCCTCATGGTGTGACTGTGACTCCACCGGCAAAATCCAAGCTCGTCACTCCACCAGTCGGCGACACCTCTGTCTCAGTGCCCACCAAGGCTGACCCGACTACTCCCGTGGAAGATACTCCTCCATAATCAAAAACCCGGCGTTCGTCTGGCTGTACGTGTTCTGCTTCCACAGTGTTTGCTGCAAGTTCCAAGTCCAGTCCTCGGTTGACTCCTCAACGGAAAGCGGCGGCTCGTTCCGAGTTCCAGTCGTCTCTTCATGTGGAGTTCCAACTATTTTCGGTTGGAGAGGCCATCTTTGACGAAGAGCCGAGTGGACCACTACCTGGAGCGACTCTGGATGAATCTACAGAGTCTTCGGCTGCAGCGGAATCTCCTCGTGATGCTGGTGCGCTTGACTCGTCGTTGCCGAAACTGGTTATCACTATCAACGACCCGTCGGATTCTGATTCCGACTTCGACGCTGATTCTGATCCTCCGGCTTCAGATGACGACGCAGCCGAAGGAACTCGCCAAGATCAAGCCAGAGACCGAGTGTCTGGATGACCACGGTGACTCCGACTCATCGGTGGAAGATGATCCTCCCATGGCTGCTCCTACTAAGTCTCCTGCCCCTGTCGAGGCCAAGGTTCCTTCGCCCAAGCCTCTCCCAGCTACAAGTGGGAAGAAGAGAAATCTCAAACACAAGAAGACTCCTGTCGTGAAGGCCGAGAAGCCAGCCGTCAAGATTCATCCACCCAAGACTCGAGTCATATCTCGTGGATCAAGTGTCGACGTCTCCGGGTTGCCGTCACTGATATTGGGCAAGTCTGACTTGGTTAAGTTGTTCAAGCGGTCTACGACGAAGCTTCGTTCGCATGTGGCTCCTGTATTTTCTCGTCGTGGGGACCTCGTGAGTTGGATCAAGTTGGAGGATGCTTTCTTGAAATCAGGCTGTGCCAGCAGACCCCAACATCAAATGCACCAAGTAACATCTGGCCAAGTTCGTGTCATTTATGGATGTTACTCATCCTTTCCAAGTACAGCGACAGCTCTAGCCTGACCATGCGTGTTTGTTCAACACCAAGAATTTCGACTTGGACTCACACGTCTCCCAGCGTGCCAGTTATTCTGACCGTTTATTCGGAATTTGGCAACGCTTACGGGGTTATGGAGATCGTGATTCAGCTTCGCTTGGAGTGGCTGATTACGAGCGCAAGCATTGGGTTCCTGCCAAAGCTGTCGAGCGAATCTTCGCTATTATGGAGGAAAACATTTCGAAGCAGAGTAACTGGAGTAAGTGCGAGCGCAAGCATGCTCTGGCCACTCTTGACGAACTTCGCCGACATGGGCTGAGTATCATGATGAACGGGCTTCGAGCACCGACAACTTGCGCCAGTTTATTCTGAGGGTGTTCTCCCGATAAGGAGATTTTCCCGTCCCACACCATGTTGGAGCCGTCTATGCCCATTTACTCTCTGGAAATTATGCCTTGGGTGCCGAAGCCTGCTGACTGGTGCACTGAGGCTTTGGAGCTGGATCGACAAGAGCCGTGGCGCGTCGGTCGGCTCAATTGTCCCGAGAAGCACCCTTATAACACAGTGTTCGTTCCATGCAACTCAATGGTTCCGCTGTTTCTTCCGAGTGGATCTACCATGGGGGTTGTTGAACCAGCTATTATTCCTGACTCTTCGGTCAATCCTGCAGACATTGACCCTTCCTGGAATATCGCTTTCCGTGGAGATCTTGAGGAAGGAGATCTTGAGGAAGGAGAAGAAGAGGAAGGACAAGTTACTGCTAAAGTTGAACATTCGTTGGCGTCCGCTATCCCTGGATCTCCTGCTCTTTCGTCTGCATCCAACGAAACTATGGATTTGGATCAAGGTGCTGACGCTGATACCTCACTGGATGGAACTCGTGGTGCTGAGATGCTAGCGCAGCTTGGTGAGACGGTGGATCTATAGTTCTCCTGTTTTTGCCAAGTTACCCATCTTCCGGTTTTCGTTGATGTTCACGTTTTACTGGGTAGCTTGTAGTTCTTTCTTAATCACTCTTAATATCAAGTTGCATTTCGCAATTCATGTAATATCCAATTCATACAACGATATTGGTTTGCAGTATTCATTTTCGTCTGGACTAGTGAGCTGCACCGCCTCAACGCCAGGTCGTTCATAGTGATTACTTCAACTAGCCCTCATCAGCGACTTGGACCATTTGGAGACGATGTTCGCTCCTTTTATTTCGTAAGTAATCGTACAAGAGACAGCCACAAGAGAGATTCGCTGCTGGTTCCCACGTCGTTTCTTCATAACCAATCCACTTGACTTCAAACTCCCGCACTGGACGATCAGTATTTGTTGACATCGGAGTTCGGTCGTTGAGAATCGCTTCGACTTCAAATTCGCCAGCAGCCGTGTCCGGTTCCCAGCTGTCTTCAGGTAGTAGTTCTTCGTCGAAATCCAGTCGCGTATCCTCAGTAATATCTTCCGCTAGTCGAGTCTTAGGTCGATCACAAAACTCATTCACAGCCTTCAGTCGCGACACATGGACCACTGGGTATAATCGGTATCCACTCTTGTCTGACAATTCCAGCTCATAAGCAAACTCTTCCACCTTGCGTTTAATACGGAACGGTCCATGCCACCTATGGGCAAGTTTCTTAGCCAATCCTGGTTTGACCCGGTCCATATAAAGCCATACTCGGTTCCCTGGTTGGAACAAAGACTGTGGGGTTGAACTATCGTCATCCGGGTTGTCGATGTTCTCCTGCGGGCAAGCCACTTGCTCCTTACGGCGGAGCTTTTTGTTGTGTTCTCGTGCCCGTCTTGCTTTCTCAGTGGCCTGGTATTCTTTAGCCATCTCGAGTGCCACTTGTTGTTGGCGGTTAATTTCTCGTCTCCAGGCCAATACCTCTGGCTGCTTACCAATACCACGCTTCTGCGAGGTCGTCTTAGCACGCAAAGTTGTATGAGCATCCCAGCCGTGCACTAGGTAAAATGGAGTTTCCTTTCTCGTCATGTCATGCGAGTTATTGATAGCAAATACGAGTCGTTCCGCCATTTCGTCCCAGTCTTGTTGTAGTGGGTCATAGACTTTCACTGACTGCATGACTGTCTTCACTGAGCGCTCTTGTTGACCATTTGCTTGTGGACGATAGCTCAATGTAGACCGTGACCTAGCCTGAAGCAATTCTTCAGCAAATGCTTGGAAAGCTTCGCTCATGAAGCGAGGGTCGCGGTCATTGCGTATCAACGAAGGTGCACCGAATCTTCGGTATATGCATTCTTCAGAGACCTTAGCCACAGTTAGCGCATCAGTGTCTGACATTGCTTTAGTAATGACGAACCCAGTGAACGTGCACTGCCAGAGTAGTAGGGCTGTATTGACTCGACGAGACTTTGGCAGCGGAATAACGAAATCCATTGATACTACTTGGAATGGTCGTTCTGCAAGCACGTTACCAGGTGAGTAGCCTTTGAGCTGGGGTGCGCTCTTACTCGAGCTACAGTCAAGGCACGACTTTACATGTTTTTCCACATCTGCATACAGTCCAATCCAATAGTAGTCATGCTTCACCCTCTGATACGATCGAACGACACCTTGATGGCCTCCCTCAATAGAGTCATGCCAATTCTGCAGCACTTCTTGGAGCATTGTTGTCGGCACTACAAGTCTCAACCACAACTCTGGTTGGTTATCTTCCGACTTACGTCGAGTTGGGCCCACATAGTAGAGTATGTTATCGCTGGATAGGACAAACTTGTCAGACCATTTCCACGCGTCTCGAGCTACTTTGTAGCTCATTATCGTGGTTTCTCCTCTGAGGATGGCAAAAACATCGATCATCTCGTTCTTCATCCTGTTCTTTGGAAATTCGTCGACGTCGCTCTTCTTGTGTTGTTACAGGGTCGATATCGTCGGCATTTGGCGAGTGTTGTGCCTCAGCATTCGTCTGCTGTGCCTCTGCCTGTGAGTTGTCGGTTAGTGCTTCAGCCTCAGTCTCGGCCTCTACTGCAATGGCTTCCAGGTCATTCTCGAAATGGACTCTCTTGCTCTTCTTCCGAGCTTGGCTTCGAGTCATAGCTGCGGTTCGTGGCACGAAATCGGTGAATGTCTTGCTTTGTACGGCAATATCACTACTTGGAACACTAGCTTGTCGTGTTATACCTTGCGCAATTTGAACGAAATTCTCAGACTCACTCTTCATGACCTTGTTTTCATCCGAAGACGACTCGT